CAGAATGACACGTAAGTTTTCATTTAAATGTTTGAATTTTAGTAGTGATTCATTTTCTTTAAAAATTTGTATTTTAATACATACATATTTGGTGCTTTCTTTTCGATGTAATGTTTTAATTTGTTAGAATTAAGTAATTTAGTAGAATTAAGTTAATTTTCTCTCTGTATTTTGCTATTTATCACGGCATTTATTATTCTCATATTTCATGGGGTGTTTTTGTTATTACAAACCATTTACTTATGTTGCCAAAATCTTTTACTAACTTTTTTTATTGCAGTAAAAGAAGTGATGTTATGAGAGAACGGCAAAAAAAGAAAATACATTTCGAACAAAAATTTAATTTTTATTCAGCTCACCCTTTTTTTACAGTTGTACAAAAAAGATGTCACATATATTCATTCACATATCAACTAAAAGCAATTGCAAATATACTTTCAGGTGGTAATCAGCGTGAATTGGCCCGTGAAAGAAATCTGAAAAAGCAGCAGCAGCATAAGAAGTCACAACCTCATCAGGATGTTAGTGAATTATTATTTAAAACTTTGCTATCCTCTTTTCATGTTTTAATGTTTTGATGTCCTCTTCTATTCACTCATCTGTACGCTAGAATCATGAAATGGATTCATTTAAATTATATGGTTATGGAAGTTTCATCGGTGTTTGCCGACCGAAGAACAGCATTTAAAGAACTACCCTAATGTTTGTAATAGAGTTAAAGAAGTGATATCTCGGTGTTGCCAATGCAGCTATACTGGAATACTCTTCGAATTTCTGTCAATGTTCTAGTAATAACTCTGTACGTGCGAAAAATGATAGTCCCGAACTAAAACTATTAATAAATCTAAGGAACAGCTTATCTCGTCATGCAGCAACATCAGCGAGGTGGAGGATGTTGTGCTGAAAGTCCCGATATTTTATGATTCTTACCAACTGGTAAGATTAATGAAGAAAAACAGTTCTGCATCGGATTCGAGTAAGGATCCATTATTGTGCTAAAAGATTTAGTTGACATGTCGGACGGAAGCTGGATTATTTGATATTAGCTCGACTGAACTTCTATGGAATCCGACCTGGACATTAATCGCTATGGGAAGTGGTGGCGATCGGATGACTCCGATATATGATGAGAAATTCTCACAATCGATAAGCAAGCTGAGAAAAAATTAGTGCCTCACGCCATCTATGGCCGATAGGTGAATGAAATGGTCCATGGAAAGCATTTTTCGCAGTAGGAAGGTGAGAAACGCTAGCTCGATGTTTATCTGGTGAACAGTCCTGACCACATGTGAATCTTTTGTTAGAAATGTATAACTAATTACCGGAGGTTAATTTCAGGGCGTAAAATTAGATAACAGAATGGAACGGGATGCAGATATCATGCGTAAAAAGCAGGAAGCAGCAGCAGCGAAGAAAGCAGCGGAAGAAGCAGCTGCGCGTGCTGAAAAAAATAAAAAAATCCAAGTATTCGACCCGCTGAAATGATTCCTTCATTATCCACAATGAAAAAGCTTGTGTATTACAATACCCGCCTTCTGCTTCCTTCTTTGCCTCCTATCGGAGCTGACCTTTGCTCCTATTCCTTTCTTTTCTTTTTTTGGTAACTGATCGTCTTTTAGAATGATCCAGTACGTGACAAATTCTGCCTTAATTTGAGAAAAGTCTTTCTTGATAGTATGACTGCAACGAAATTGGAAATCACATCATTTCCTATTCATCCATTTCGTGTACTTCTGTGTTATTAATTCCTTCGATTCTCTCCGAAGTGTAATTTTCAATTAATCAGTTGGTTATTTGCAAGCGAGATGCAAGCAACTTTTGAAATAGTGAATAAATCATTCACTATTTCAAACGACTAACAGCCATGCATCATGAAAACCCCAGCTTGTAACAATCATTGGTTAACCATCGATCTATGAATGATGAACGAATTGTGTATAAATGTCATCTGACCAAAAGCAGAAGATTCTTGCTGGAAATAGACGAAGGCTTTGGAATCTCCTATATATTGTTCGTATGTCATAAAGAAGAATGAATGAGGACTAGGTAATTTTGGTTTCCGTATTTCCTATAACGGAAAATCCACATTTGGAAGACAATTTGGTTTCTATTCGTAAATGTTCGTTTTCAAACATATCATTAGCTGGCCATTTATTGTTTGATATGACATAGTAAACTTCCAAACGTTTAACCAACAACTTAAAACATATCGAAGTACAATGAATTCAGTAATCAGTATTTCATTTTTTTGTAAAGGTGAAGTCGATTGATTCAACACGTTGTCACAGATGACCAAAATAAATAACATCTGAAGAATGAAGAGGGCGATTTTTCGTGGAACAAAAGAATTCTGTGAATTTTGTTTGTTTGAAATGCACCCAGGATTGATGGACTAAATGTTATAAGAAAAATTGAAGTGTAAGAGAATAAAAATGAATAAACAAAGGGAGTGGACAGATTTCCA